TTCCCCCCCCCCCCCCCCTCCCCTCTCGCCGCTCTCCTGGTCCCTGAGTTAACGATTTTCGTGCCAGGAATCCTTACGGGGCCACACGCGGGAACCATGCATACCCGGAAATTAAGTTTGAAACCTTTGAGTTCTATGTGGATGGAGGAAATAACCTCAAAGTTTCAGCTTTGTAGCTTTGCTGGTTCCTGAATTGGCGATTTTCCCGCCAAAACTTTCACGCCCTCGTACGTGGGGCCTAGGCTTGCGCAAGGGTTAATATCGCGGTCCTGAGGTGGTACTCGGACGGGGAACCCAGCGGCAAAATTCTGGCGCCGAAGTTTGCTCGGATGTCGAGTTGAAATTCCTGGACAGACGCACACACACGCACAGGCACATACACCGGGGTCGTCACAGTATGCGTCTTTGCGTTTGCATATAGGCAAAAACGCATAATGAAAAGAACTCACATGCAAATGAAGTAGCCATCACCATGATAACCTGGCCTACAGACGCACTGCCCAATAGGATGAATGCAGTCCGCAAGTTCATGGCATACTGATCGATCCTGCGCTGTGCAGTTTTGGAATGAGCCACGACGCGAACCGCTCCAAGAATCAGAACCGATCGAACTTCTTGTAAAGTTAGCTTTACCAGCAGGCATCAATTCTCGACCACCTAATACACCTGTGCCTGAACTAACAGCCCCAGAAATCGAGGATGTTTCCGATTTGTGAGTATGACGCCACGTGTCGGGACCACCTCGAACACCTTCTGCAATTCTCGATTGAGCAGCACCTCCTGCACCTTGATGCACCGCGACCATTTCCGAAGATGCCGATTTGGCACCTGGCAGTTTCTTATCAGCACTTGACAGATTAGCGCCTGTGCCAAGTTTCCATTCAGCATCAACAGTTTCGCTTTCTCCAGAGCCTTCGAAGACATCTACACGACCTGACCCTTCAGAAATTCGACCCGATGAAGCACTTTCGAAATCACTAATTTTACCGCCGCCTTCACCACCAGTTTCGCGGAATTCGCCTCCAGGAATATTAGTACCACTGATTTTGGTGCCGGCCATACCACGATCGACGCCACTGCCTCGACTACCAGCACCACTGATTTTACCACCTGTGCCACTAGCTTCACCAACGATAACACCACCAGTGCCGCTGGCACCACGAGTTCGAGTATCGGTGATGTTGATTTTGCTCTCAATAGCGCTGATTCCTTTATCAGTGGCGGTACCACTAGTTTGTTCACCGCTTTTACCCTCGCTGCCACTAAATCCGCCACCATGCCCACTTATTTGACCACCGATAGTCCTGTTTTTACTGCTGACATCGCCAGTTTTGCTGCTATCGCTTTTTGTACCATTGTACCCAACAATTAGTGAACCGCTGGTTAGACTATCACTATCGCCAGTTCTACCACCAGCACCACTGATACCGGAGACACCAATACCAGTAATAGCTTCTTTGCTTGACTTTTCATCAGCTTTAATTCCTTCTTTTTTTACTTCACCAGTCTGCTTCGATTTGCTGCCATCTGTAACACCAGGCCGAATTCTTTCTTCCACTGCACCCCTTCCAACAGATGAAATTTCCCTGGTTTCATTTTGTTGAGTTTCGCTCTGAAACAGTAGTAAATTTCTAGCGATTAGTGTGCGAAGTTTCTTCTCCAATACCAAAATTAACAAGCATCAATTTTCTGCAATTTCAGCTTCTCTAAAAATTTACCAATGGCATAATGTAAATTAAAATTTAGGTCTTGAAAGGCTAGTTTGCGCAAAAAAAA